CTGCCCAACGTTCTCCATCACATGAACCAAAGGTAAAATCGGCGATCACATCCATTGTCTTCAGCTATACGGTCTAAACTGTGGGCCTGCATTCCTTCTCAGCTGCACTGGATTGTGGGCCTAGCTGCAAACCCCGAATTGCGGAGTCTAGGGGAAGGCCTACCCCCTGGCAGGGATGAAATTGGAATTCGAATGCAACTATAGAGTGTTTGCTTTTTTTTTTCTGGTTTACCGATCGTCGATCGTCGACTATCCACAAATCATGCATCGGGATTGGTAGGGGGTGAACGGGGCACACGGGAGCGGCCCAAATTTAGGGCATCACGGAGGAGCCGGTGGGGACAATGGGTTTCTGCAGCCAGCCACTCACGAACTCCTCCGTCCACGGTTCATTCAGGTACATGGCTACAAATTTTCGCTGCTAGCCACGTGTACAGTCGGTCTCGAAATTCCACTGACCTTGAAACACACGACGATTGTTTTCTCGCCCCGCTGCCAAGACCTTAGCGGGGAATTTATAGAAAGCCACCCGCTTACAACTGAGGGTGGCCAGGAATTTCGATAATACAATACCTGAAATGTAAATAAAATGGTATTAAACTATGCCCTTATGCTGCTGGCTTATTAATTTGCACAATCCCACCACGACAATAGTGAATCACGGGAGATACCCATGGAAGTACATGAAACCTCCCGCCCCGGCACCGTAGATCTCAGGGAGCTAGGAACGCCTGTTCCTGGTCCCTCGCAGACGGGCCATGTGGCATCAACTTCCCCTTTCCGGCAACCACGTATCTCTGCCTTGTTGTAACTCATGCAGTCGATAAACGCACAGTACATTTTCTATTATTTGGTGTGACAAAATAAGACTGTCGTTTCACAATCCTCTTCGCCTGCAGCTGTTGTTTGCTAACCGTTGTTCGCCGGCGAACAACAGCTGCTGAGGCAGCGTAGTGTGCGAGTTCTGACCCGATATTGCTAACTATAGGAGTCTCAATCACTAAAGAGATGAGCTCGAGCTTATTTAGCCCTGGAAATGATGACGACACATACCGAAACGGATCATGGCGATGCGATGAATCGCCATGGTATGCACCCACTCCCGGAAATTTCAGCCGTACCTCCTCGCCGTCAAGTCTTAGCCTTATCAACGCCAACTCTCCGTCCCCCTTTGAGTATCCTGCCCCTCAACCACGCGCCTCCCACACAGATAAACTGCCGCTCCTCCAGTACGGAGACTGGGTTGAAGGGAAGACGTATGATGAGGACCCACCCACCTGTATTCACTATTGGATTGAATGGAAGGTCACTCTCAACACAAAGACTGTGATCAAAGATACGGAACAAGATCTGGTTCTTGCCCCTGGATTTTATTGGAGGCTGTTCCTCCAACCAAAGTTGAGAGAGAAGCTATGCCTGAAATATCCACACAAAAAGATTGCATTGGACGACACGTCCATTGTGGTGACGGTTCCTCGGCGTGACAAACTTACTCGACAGTTTGATAAAACAGATATTGACTGGCCTGATATCGAGAGACAGCTTCTTGAATGGGGCCATCACTTCCTTGCCGGCAAGAAATTGAAACTCTTAATATCATTCAACTATGTAGATGACAACCAAGACCCTACAGCCAGTCGCAGAGCGACTGACAAACGAGGTGCATCTTCTGCCACCCAGAATATGCTCCAGGATCTTGATCGGGACGTCAACACGGAGGAGGAACTAACCGGAGAGCCTGCGGCCTGGAGGCATGTCTACATGGTAATGCGCTGCCCCGGGTCGTGTGAGTTAGGGCCGCACTGTTGGCAGGATCCATACGGGAAGAAACATTATAAACTGTATAGAGATGAGCTTTTGAGCCTGGTCCGGTACGTGAAGAGTGGGAAGAGATTGGAGACCCATGAAGACGTGCCTGGCATGATCCGTGAGCAAATCTATAGGGCTGAGAGGCGGCGGCTTGAAGGGGCAAAGAGTCGTAGTCGCCTTCCATCGGAGTCAGCCTACCCGCCGATTACCATCACAAATGTGCTTCCCGCACACGCCACGCAGCCGGGTATGTCATCGTCGCCACCCGCCCCGGAAGACGCGTCCACCTGTTCCACCAAGGCTTCGCGGCTTAAAATAGCAGGATTTCGTGACGCCAACGTCCAGGCCTACTGTGACTGGCAACAGTCACAGGTTGCGAATGAGTCATGGAAGGATGAATTTCGCAAAGCATGTGACGTGGCTCTGGGTGATGGGTTAGACTTGGACCAAATTGAGGAGTTAAGTGATCCTGAATACTTCAAAAATCGCGGAGTAAAATGGGGGATTGCTCGTCGATTTGTGAGGGATATTAGATACTGGGTAGACAACTTTTATTGTTATGTGAATGGTGGGGAGTCAGATTTATGATAATTGCGTTGTCTTTGGTCATTCTCCATAGTCTATCTTCCTATGTGTGGTACAGCCGAGAAATGCTATATATATTCGTCTATCAGTACACCTGCATGCCGAAAATGGCCTTCGGCACTCTGTACCCTTGAACCAACAACTCCAATACACCACTCAAGAAAAGCGTCGAATCCTTGTTCTGGATTATTTTCGTACTCATACCACCTCCGCTTGATGAATTGTTTGAGTTCAGCGAAGAACTCCTCAATAGGGTTAAGATCGGGGGAGTAGGGTGGTAGGTATAGCAGCTTAACTCCTGCATTCAGGCACATCTGTTTAACCCGCTCTGTACGGTGGAAGGATGCATTATCCATGATGATTACGGACCTCGGCGCTGGCCATCGGTTGCAGTGGTGGAGAAGCTGCTCGATGAAATCCTCAAACATACTGGCGTCAGTTGAGCCTTGAAAGACTCGAGATAAGAGAACACCCTTCTGGGTGTAGGCAGGCAGTATCTGATAACGTTGATCACGGTGGAATTTAGAGATCTGAATTGGTGTCACACCAAGAGGAGACCAGCCACTTCGCCGAAATCCTATCCGCTTATCACAGCCCGACTCATCCACGTATACCAGCTGGTATGACGAATAAGGGGATAGACTATGCAGGTAAAAGTCTCGTAAATCTGCATTTTGTTCCCTTGCTCTTTGCCGAGCTGCCTTGTTCGACCATCCAATAGAAGCAAGTGTCCTGCTTAGACTCTGTTTGGTTACACGCTTTCCGAAATCATCATATATAAAAACCACTAATTCATCCAAGTAAAGAGTTGGTTTCTCCTTCAAGCGTTCCAACACGGCTTCAAGCATCGCTGGGGTGATACTGCGAGGGCGGCCGACGCTATTCCGGGGGGCTCTGACATTGCCAAACGCCCCCAGGTTCTGACGGATATATGTTACAGCTTGCTTGCTACAACCAGCGGCAAAGGCGATTTCAGCTCTCGTCGACGACCCGTTCTCGATCATATGCTGAATCTGCTCGAGTTGTGGAGCTTTCAGATTTGCCGGCATCTTCGATACATGTGGGATGTAGCTCTGTGGTAGGGTGGTAGGGAGCACAACCTGCTACGTGGTGTTTGCGGAACGAAACCCGCGATTGTCAGCACGGCCCGATAATGACTCCGGTGCCCGACCGCACGATCGTGGCTCGCCCTGTTTGGACGATGGTGTCGGTAGCATCGCTTGTCAAACCCCACCGCTCCTCGGAGGGTACTTCTCCCATCCAAGCCTAATCCTGGTGAGAACATGGGCACTGGTAGTCACAATTGGTGGGTGAACCACCTTCCCTGTCTCAATTCAGTTGAACTCTTAGGGAAGCCGCACCAACCGTCAGATATGAATCATTCAACTCCCGAATCTAACTGAGTTCCACCGTCAAATGTTACCCAATTTCCGAAGGAGTCATGGCCCTCGATTATCAGCTAGAAAAAAGCAAACAAGCATGATGCGTCAACACAGGCCTCTCTGTAACTAATGGCTGGCTGAAGACCACTCCCCTGCCTTCCCCGCCGATATTTTCCCAGAAATAGCCAGACTGCTCCTAGTCCTTTTCCTTCCTGCTTCCGAACTCATTTACAGTGAACTTTACTTCGTATCCCCACGACCAAAGCTTTTTGCATAGCGATATCACGGGCTTACAATATGGATGCTCCTAGTGCTTCAAATCAACATAAGTCACACAGCATCACCGAACGCGTGAAGACTACTTTCAAAAAGTGGAAAAGAGATAAACATACATATTTTATTACCCTTAAATCAAGCATTTCAAACGTCACCGCAGATCTGGACGCGAAGGGTGATCCAGCCAGTTCTAAATATGACAGTTCCCAAACCAACGACCACAACACGAAGGATTTTTGGCAGATGGCGTACGAAGCGTTAACAGAGAGCGACCCGAACAGTATAGCAGTGCTTTTCCCGCTTACCGGGACAAAGTCTCAGGATACTGGCAATGCACGAACCAGAGAAAAACTGGACGAGGTAGTTGAGGCAACAAAGGCGCAGTACAAGGAAAAGCAGAGAAAGGATAGCATTCAGACCACAGCCAATAAAATATTAAACTCAGTACTGTCTTTCCAAGATGTTATCGATAATATTGTGAAATTTGATCCGACTGGATACGCTTCCAGTGCTTGGGCGATAGTTTCCCTTGGTTTAACAGTACGGTTCTTACACTAGCCAAGCCAGACAATCAGCTAATAATTTAGATGGCTAAGAACCATGCAGACCTCCGAGGGGCTCTATTTAGCTCATCAGAATACTTGGCGGACTTATTAACTCGTTGTACCTTCATTGAAGAACAGTATTATGGGGATGGAGATCCTAACATAGTGAATGCCGAAAAAAAACAGTCGATTATCCGGGTGTATGTGGCAATCTTGCGATACTGCACCGAGGTACGGAGAGTACAACAGTCCAACAAAAAAAGAGACATCATGGTGAGTATAACAGCTATTACAAGCCAACCACTCACGCAGCTCAAAATCTTGATCAAGAAAAAGAAGTCCCACCTGCACCAGTAGCTAATTCTGGACCAGCACTTACGTTAGAAAAAGAAAACAGAGAATATTCTGAATCACCTCGATCAATTGACCGGGGATCTCCAAAAGGTACGTGATGCAGTTGATATATTAAATCTTCCTTTTGCCAAGGGCGCTTTTTTTGGCTTCTTTGAGGACCAGCATGAGGATAAATGCCTTGCTAAAACGCGAACAGAGTTGCTTCGGCAGGTACAGGACTGAGATAAATCCAGTGACAAATATATTTTCTGGTTAAGCGGAATGGCAGGCACTGGCAAGTCTACTATTACGAGAACAGTAGCCCGAATGTTCAAAGAGAATGACATGCTCAGGGCAAGTTTCTTTTTTAAATAGAGCAAGGAAGATCGGGGCTCAGCAGTAAAGTTCTTTCCAATAATTATAAAGCAATTAGCAGTACACATCCCTCAAATGGTCCCCGGAATCCGAAAAGCTATTGAAGATGATCCTGCAATTCCTAGAAGTTCACTTCAAGATCAGTTTAATAAGCTCATCTTACAGCCATTGCTCACTGTCGATCATAGCAAAGTCATGAAATCTATAATAATTGTCATCAACACTCTAGATAAATGCAAACCAGAGGAGGACATGGAAATCATCCTCGATCTTTTACCCGAGGTTAAGACGGTAATAAATATAATAATCCGATTCTTCTTAATCAGCCGGCCGGAGATACCCATCCGTTGTGGGTTTGATGAAATCGATAAGAGCAAGTACCAGAATACTATCCTGCAAGATTTAGATAAAGATGTGATAAAATATGACATCGCCTTATATCTCAGAGAAGAATTCTCTAAAATATAGCAGAAGCGCCGGCATGCTCTTCCCCCCAGCTGGCCTGGAGAGGAAAAAATCAAAGTCATAGCAATGATAGCTCGTCCGCTCTTTATCTTTGCAGCCACGGTGTGTCGTTTCGTGGCCAATAGGCATTTTGACCCAGATCAGCGGCTTCGGGAGTTCTCTGGTTCTACAGGATCTAAGATGGATAGCACATACCGACCGGTTCTGAACCAACTCCTTGTCCAGGATGCTACGGATCGGTATAAGCTGATTAAAGAGTTTCAAAGAATTATTGGTGTAATCATTCTTCTTGCTAATCCACTTTCATTGAGCTCTCTTGCGGAGCTGCTGCTTGGAACATCGAAACACGATAGCACCTTCGATTTGGAACGCCAGATTAGCATTCATCTGAACTTATTCCATTCAGTCCTGTCAATACCCAGCGATCCAAAACTACCTATACGGACCCTGCATTTGTCCTTTCATGATTACCTTGTGGATGATCGTACGAAAGACCAAGAGGCTACGGCTCAATTCTAGATGGATAAAAAGGCAAAGCATGAGCTCATAGCCAGCCAGTGTCTTACAATTATGAGACGTTCTCTAAAAAGAAATATTTGCGAACTGTCAAGCTATGAAACAAGCCGAACAGAAATACGCCCTGATTCTATAGCAAGATATATTCCATCCGCTCTTCAATACGCCTGTCGTTACTGGGTTTACCATCTAACCCAAGGTCCAGCACCAGCCAGAATCCTTGAAAAAATGCACACATTCCTGAAGAAACACTTTCTTCATTAGTTTAAAGCCATGGGCATTCTAGGAATAATACCTGAAGCCATGATTGCAGTGAATTCATTGCTCCAACTGACCAAAGTAAGTAATGAACTAGCTTATAGCAGCTGACCAACTAACACAAGTGGTAATTCTAGAATAAATCTAGTAACGAAATATATATTCTCCTATTAGATGCGCGCAGGTTTATTCTCAAATTTGCACAAATTGCTGATATGGTACTACTGCAACTGTACAGCTCTGGCCTGATTTTTGCACCATATAAAGCGTTGATTAGAGAGATCTATGAAAGAGAACTTCCTACTTGGTTATCCAGAGGCCCAAAGGTAGAAGAGTATTGGGATCCAGAGATATAAACGCTGGAGGGCTATTCTTACGCGGTTACCTCGGTCACCTTCTCAAACAACGGACAGCTGCTGGCATCCGGCTCGGGGGACAAGACCGTCAAGCTGTAGGATGCGGCCACGGGCACTCTTAAGTATATATTAGAGGACTATTCTAACAGAATTTACTCAGTCATCTTCTCAAACAACGAGCAGCTACTGGCATCCGGCTCGGACGACAAGACCATCAAGCTATGGGATGCGGCCACGGGCACTCTTAAGCATATATTAGAGGGCCACTCTGGTTTGGTTTACTCGGTCGCCTTCTTAAACAACGGGCAGCTGCTGGCATCCGGCTCGGGAAACAAGACCATCAAGCTGTGGGATGCGGCCACGGGCGCTCTCAAACATACATTGGAGAATCATTCTAATCCGGTTTACTCAGTCGCCTTCTCAAACAACGGGCAGCTGCTGGCATCCAGCTCGGGGAACAAGACCATTAAACTGTGGAATGCGGCCACGGGCGCTCTCAAGCATACATTGGAAGGCCATTCTAATCCGGTTTACTCGGTCGCCTTCTCAAATAACAGGCAGCTGCTGGCGTCCGGCTCACGCGACAAGACTATCAAGCTGTGGAATACGGCCACGGGCGCTCTTAAGCATACATTAAAGGGCTATTCTAACTGGGTTTACTCGGTCGCCTTCTCAAACAACGGGCAGCTGCTGGCATCCGGCTCGTACGACAAGACCATCAAGCTATGGAATGCGGCCACGGGCGCTCTCAAGTATACATTAGAAGGCCATTCTAATCCGGTTTACTCGGTCGCCTTCTCAAACAACAGGCAGCTGCTGGCATCCGGCTCGCACGACAAGACCATCAAGCTGTGGGATGCGGCCACGGGCGCTCTCAAGCATGATATAAGCACTAATAATATGGCCACCAGTGTTGAATTTTCGGAGCACCTGCCACTACTGATTAGTAATATAGGATCTTTTGATATCCGAAACTACTATGAAAGCTTCTTAACTTCCTCCGAGAAGGTGGCAGAGATATCTCTGGAAGCAGATCAATGGATTACTGTGCAGGGTCAAAGAGAGCTATAACTACCTCCGAATTATCATCCTTCCTCATCAACGGTCAAAAACAGCACTATTGCAGTCGGTAGTATGAGCGGCAGAGTTGCCATGATTGCATTCTCTGTCATGTGAGGTATCATGTAGTGGTCTGTATTTCTGACTCTCTTATTATCAAATCTCTTTCTAAAAGGAGGGTAAGGGAGAAGGGGGCATTATGTAGCCTCTGCAATATCATAGAAGCTTCCTGAATTTTCAGCTGTCCTAGTAGGCGGTGGTAAAACACTGATATTTCTAGCAAGTGGCGTTCAAGAAGTTGTTGCGAGCCAACTTCCTGAGTCATGTGACTGCTCACCATTTCATCATTTATGCGTTGGATTTGCGGTACGACACATATGTTCGTAAGTTATTACGTGATATATACTAACAAAACCGTCACAATGTTTCGTCAAATACAGATCGTAACGTATTGGATGTTGCTCAAATAATCGGCTCGCGCTAAGATCTTGGTAGTGGGGCCAGATAACAATAGTCATGTGTTTGATGGTCAGAGGAATTTCGAGACCGCCTGTAGACGTCACTTTGTTGCTTAATGGTACTGACTTTATCCCACTGGTGTAGATCTAACGAATATTCCCCGAGAAAAGCACACGGACATCTCCGTGGCTGACCCACTGTGAGATCCGGTTCTAATCGGAACACTGCTGGATCCAAGGTTTATCAGAGACACTTCGGGATATGTGTGCCTAGCCAAGACAACTAGTCTTCCTGCAGTGCCGTCACAACCTCGGCTCCTCCTCGCTGCCCGGCTCTAATAGCCTCCTCCATGTACCCACGCCACACTGTGGACGTTTCTGTTCCGATAAAATGCACTTTGCCATGCGGTGCAGCTACATCACTCCCGGCAGTAGTCAGTAAGCCGGGTATCATAGCCGGACAAGGTGCTCCAAGGAAATAAGGCTCTTTACTCCATTCCATCTCCAGGGTATTGGCTGGCTCGGGGATGTTTTCCACGAAGTCTTCAAAACATCGGCGAAACTGCTCCCACACTTGGCTGTATCGATCATCCTTTGACAGCTTAGACCACGCTCGTCCGCGACTGCCCACCATGAAGCATGTGATAGACCATTGGTCATCGGTGGGTACACTCGTGTCCCGTGTAAAGGTTATGGGGCCACCCGCACAGTCGACGATTCCGGTAAGTCCAGCGTCGCGCCACCATGGTTCTTTGAAGATGAAGATCACTTTACTGTAGTATCCCATGATCGTATGGTCACTTAATACCTGTTTTGCATGTGGAAGTGGGGGGTGGAAGGAGACACTCCGGTATAAGGTGGTAGGGATAGACACGATAACGCGTCGACAGCGAAAAGAACTTCCATCAAGTGTCTGGACCACGCAGTGAGCATCAGCGTCAGTCTGATTGATTGAAGTGACGGGCATGCCCAGAAAAATGTCCGATTGGCTGAGCTCATCTGCCATCTTCCGGGCGATGGTTTGGGTTCCTGCGCCGTTAGCACATTAATGCTAAAGAGGCTTGACGATCGTTGCTTTACCTTGTCTTGTCCGCAGATACTGTGCTCCGTCTCTCTCATCTGACAGCAGATTGTCGATCCCACTCCCACTTTTGAAGTAGTAGAGCATATACAAAGCACTGAGTTCGTTACTATTCAATCCAAGCAGCGCCGTTGAAATAGCATCTGTAATGTGAATAACATCCTCCGATCCAGTCTTCTCGACGCAAAAGTCCCTGAACGTCAGATTATCCACTTCTGTGGCCCCTGGAAAACTCATAGGATCGTCCAAGTCTAACCGTGAGGACTCAATTCGGAGAATATCCAACAATTTCTTTGGAAGCCCAGTCTAAATGTCATCAGCCGCCAGCAGCTCAATCAAGCTTAAAATTCACCTACCAATGGCAATCCATACGGTATCTTGCGGATCACCCCCTCGCCTGACTCGAGGATATCATCTCCACAAGGATACTGAACCACCCCATCCAGTCCATACCGCTGATGAAGTTTGAAAATCTCCGTCTGGTTCGTATCATTCACCCAAGCCGCTCCTAGATCATTGTATCCCTTCTCGCTGGATTTTACGGTCAACGTCTTCCCGCCCACTCGGTCCGTAGCTTCCAGGATACACACGCTGAATCCTGCTGCCTGGATGGAATGCGCGGCTTGAAGGCCGCTAAGTCCGGCTCCCACGATCACCGCATCGTAGAGCTTTGTAGTAGGATCGTTGGATACAGACATTTCAAACTCCAATGTTACAGTAGTGGGGCTAGGAGAGTTGTGTGACAGCAATTGCCAGAGTTATTTAATGCAAATTAGGCTGAGGAAGTGCAACACAAAAATGGTGGCTGGTTGCTTATCCTCGGCCGCGGTTTATCACTCCGCCAATCGGGATGTCCGTAGGTAAATAGCGGGGAGTTTCTGCTCGTGAAAATAAGAGAAGCTCTTGATTTACTATTGATATTATCTCAATTCGGTAAATAATGTTAACAGTAAAAAAGCTTGACGAATCACAAATCGGCGACAACAAGAAATTGATTAGTAGACAGGAAATGTCTGCCCAACTGTGTGACGGAAGCGAAGAAAACACAACGGGGGAGACAGAATATATTCTCACGCACGAGGGCAACAAAACAAAACACATAAACCAAGTTGAACGTATTAGGCTATAAACCCCCAAGTTGACTTATTATGGAGATCTCTCGATCCCAATTGATAATTCAAGTCCTCTGCGAAGAACGAGAAAATGTCTTGGCAAACCGGCGAAAAACTGAGGTGGCTGAACCGCTTCGGACTCGCACAAACCAATACAGAAACAATGCGGCAAAAATGTTGAACGCGATGTATGCCCACATAAGCCCAAAGTTGCGCCAACGCTCAGCATACGATGTGGAGAGCGATGCAAGATACACATTCGAGTTGGTCATCTGGCAGTATTCACAATCGGCGGTTGCCTGGGGATTGTAAACGGCACCTCCAGCGATTTCCATGTAATCGGCGAGGTAATTGGCACAAGTCTCATTGGCCGGAGGCTGAACAACAACCAATTCCAAATCGGAGCAGTGGACTGCAGTATTGGCTAGACCCGCGGAAAGCATGCCGCTAACGAGATAGGTCATCGGGGATACTCGATACATGAAGATCCAGAATCCGGGGAGGCTAGCGGGGCTGGCCATGACGCTGTAACGGTACTATTAGATGGGAGAGGACAATATTACGGGTTGAAGAGAATTGGACCTACCCGCAGAATATCAAGCTCATTGAGAAGAGGAGCAGAGCTAGAGTGGCCCCGACCTCAGCAGTTGCCACGCTCGCAACCACCATGATCGTGAATGTACCACAGTGCATCATGAAAGACCAAACCAGGAGAAACATGAGCCCGCTTCTTTCATTCACAGTATGTGTCTCCTCGGCGTTATGATACATCCCGATGATATAGTAGAATGGGAGAAAGATCAGAACCGCCGCAAGCGAGTTCCAGGGGATGTCAACAACGATGTTGGCCAACATAAAAGCAGACCAAGCGTATGTTTTGGCTGGCCGTTCACGGACTTCGTACAAGTCGCGCTGCTTGATAAAATTAGGCATAGTCTGGTAGGCAAGAAATGCAAAAATAACAAGAAGCATGAATATAGCAAAGGTCTGATGCTGGAGACCAAGGACCGTAACCTTCGTGTTGAGAAACGAAAGACCAATGAACAGGGCCTACACAGTGTGTCAGAAAATGAACTCGACAAATGAGGTCGTTTGTGTGAACGTACCGCTCCGAAGCAAAGGATCAGCTTAGCATAGATGTATGACGGAGAGCGCCAGTACTGTTCAAAAACCCGTTTTGTACAAAGACCTAGCTGGATGTAGAATGGGGCCGCATATTGCTGGACTGAGGTGCTCTCATCTTCCAGACTAGGAGAGCCAGACTGCTCAAGCCGTCCAAGCTCTTTTCGCGTTTCTTGGAATTCACGGCTCTCTTTCCATGTGACCGGCCAGTCACGGACTGAGCTACTCCCTGGGGCAGCACCGATGACCTCCAGCATCCATTCAGCCGGATTCTCCTCATCTGCGCAGGGCCTTGCTCCATGCTGCTCAAAGTAGCCGATCAGAGTCTTGGAGTTAGGTCCGATCGGCCCAAAGTAGACGGTACGGCCGCCTTTAGCTAGGAGAAGGAGCCGGTCAAATTGCTGGAAGAGAATGGCCGAGGGCTGATGTATTGTGCACAATATGGCTTGTCCATGGTTGGACAACTTCCGTAGCAGCAAGGATATAGACCATGCCGTCTGGCTGTCCAATCCTGACGTTGGCTCATCGAGAAACAGTAGCAAATCAGGCTTTGCAGCAAGTTCAACACCAATCGTCAGTCTTTTCCTCTGTTCGACGTTGAGACCCTCTCCAGGAACACCAACGACAGCATCAGCATATGACCTCATCTCAAGCAAATCAATCACCTCCTCAACGTATTGTAGCTTTTCAGCCCTAGAAGTAGAGGCGGGCTGGCGGAGGAGAGCGCTGAACTGAAGGGCTTCTCGAATAGTGCTGGTTTCCAGATGAACATCTTGCTGTTGAACGTAGCCTACCCTGCGCTGAAAAGATGCATCCCGCGGGGTTCCGTTGACACAGATATTACCGGAAACAACACCTGTTTTCACTCTACTTGCTAGAAGATCTAGGAGTGTTGTTTTCCCGGCCCCTGAAGCGCCCTTTTACGAGAAATTAGTTGATATGCTAGATTGACGGAGGCTATATTACACTCACCATCAACGCAGTAAGAGTGCCTGGGGTTACCCAGCCATCAATGTGGTCTGCAATTCGTCGCATTTCACCCTTGATCGGAACATCGTAACAAACATCTCTCCAGTGCAAGGTGTTAGATTCAAAGCGGAACTTGAGAGACTGGTCCTCTTCGGCCCCTTCATTACTGTCGACGCAGTTATGGCTTGCCGCTGTCTCTTTTTTAACGGTGCTCTCTTCGTCATCGGCAGGTTCGCCGCCAATATGGGCTACCCTATGTTTGCGCTGGAATACCAACACTTCGCCTTTGGAGTAACTGAACTTGACAAACTCAGCGATGAGGAGATATGTAGTCATGAAAAACAAAATGAATGCAACAAGAATGCCGAAATTTCTAACCTTCTGTCAGCCAGTGAGCTACTTTGCTTGAATATCGGGGGTCACGAACCTCCACGTATGAGAATAGTAGTACCCATAATTTGCCTCTACATATGCGTCTCCACTGACCACGCTCGAGGCAGAAGTAGCGCCTGCCACAGAGCAAGTTCTTTCTGTATCTGAAATACTCTCATATCCCGGACCAGACGGAACAAAGCTGGCACAAACAAATTCACGGTGATGAAATTCGTTCGCCACAAGGGTTTCGTAGGAGTACGCGATCGGGTTAATGTAGTTGAGCCAACACAGCCAGACTTGCATGTTCCGGGTGGGCAGCACAAAACCGGTGTATACAATTAGTCCAACAACACCCAACGCAATGGGAGTGAGAGCCTGCGCAACTGTACGGGTCAATTGAGCAATGGTACGGAAGATCATGGACATTGTCAAAGTCGACAAGAATGCGAATAGTAGATATATTACCACATGACCCGAGTCCCGCCGCAGGTTCGACATGTAGTATAACGGTAAGTTGAAGGCCAGCGTAGAGAGGATTTTGCATGGTAGATCGCATATCATGGAAGCCATAGCTTCCGACATCGGATGGTAAAAGGCGTAAGACGCATGCTTCTCGACAATCGGTCTCTGGGCGTATAGTGCCAATATCTGCACTGTCAGCATCATGTTGCTTATGAAGGGCCAGAAGACTCACCTCTAAAGCACTGTTGAGTGCGTTAAAAAGCAGAGCAAAAAACAGTAGAATACATCGATCAGTAAAGCTAACGCTTGTGTCCGACAGATGATAGAAGACACTGCCAAGTATAAGAGAGAGGATGAAATTGCCAAGAACCGTCACGATGAAAAAGGAAGGATCTCCAAGAATTCTGCGGTAGCCCCGTCGCATACACAAAGCTATCTGTTGCAAGACAGAGATCGTGTAGGGAGAGTTGCTCGTCCTGAATACTGGGTCAGTGACATCTTCATTCAGTGCACACAGACCAGCTTACATCAAAGGAGATCGTTCAGCATTCCGGGAGCTTTCAAATTTCTGCAACATAGGTCCCCCGATTGGATGCTCTCTTTCAAAGTCTGATATTTCTCCTAAAAGCCTGGCTCTCAAGACACTCTGTTCCCAACACTTTGCAAACTCCCCCGGGGTCCGGGGAACACGGCTCTCGAACCCCGACCGGACTACTCTCTCGACAGGATTTGTGAGCGACGTGAGAAAGTCTGCCGTGGTTTGCCGTTCAGGACATTCGTAACCCAATTCTGTGAAGTACGACTTCGCTTGGTCAATTGGACCGAAGTATATTTGCCGGCCTTCGTATAACAATGCAACTTTATCAAAAACCTAACAACGTAAGTTGGTTAGAAGACACAAGAGAAAAGGGAAGAAATGCGTACGTCATATGCCTGTTGCGATGCCTGATATAATGCCACAACAGCCGCTGTACCCGCCACATCGACAGAAAGTCTGACAGTCCGAACAAATTCAAGAGCCGTGGCACTATCCAAGCCACGAGTACTGTTATCCCAGCACTGAATACAACTTTGGGTGAGAGCCAATTCCGCAATGCTGACACGCTTTCTCTCTCCGCCACTGACGCCGCGGATAAAGTCGTCGCCAACCTTGGTGTTGACCGTATGCGAAATTCCAAAGATAGCCATAACCACATCACGCAGGTGAGTTGCATAGGTCTCGCGAGAAACTCCGGGTAGTCTATTGTGAGGCGTTCTTGCCAAGGCCGCATACTGAAGGGTCTGCCCAACTGTCAGGTGTGGGAAATGGACGTCCGTTTCTGCTTGATACGTTACGTCCCCACGAAACTTTCGATGCATCAAGTCCCATGGAATACCTATAGATGCGTGAAATTGGGGTATAGTATCAGCTATCTGTCGGTATTTGTCTTCCCTGGCCAGATTCCCTACCTTGGTAGTTGAATTCCGTCGAGTCGTCCAAGGACAGCCCTTTAGTCTGACCAGCAATTGTCTTCAGCAGGGTTGATACACCACTGAGTACATATCATGTTACCCTAGAGAAATGTAGACAACAAATTTGGAAACTCACCTGCCAGGCCTCCCTAGAACGAGGAGCATTTCTCCACTGCGCAAGAGCCCATCATGATCTTTCAAAATCTGGAGCTTACGATTCCTACTGTTAACCAAGCCGCTAACGATATCACCCACCTGCAGGATAGCATTCAAAAAATCCTTCTGATATGCAGTTGAGCGCCCATAACCATGGACACCGAGGCTCCGGAAAGACACACCCGCTGTACGCTGTGGGAACCGATCAGGATCTTGCGAGGACCAGTGCAGTATGGTTCTTGCCCAGTGTCTCGCATTGAACTTCGGAGAGTTGGGATCCAAGCTTGGATCACAGCTCGTCGTGAAAGGGTTGGGTGGCATACCATCATGCCGAGACCGCGTCGATTCTGCTGTGAGCCGTCTGGCAAGTTTCATAATCTTGCGCTGATCCTCAGTCGATATGTCTCCTTGGTACGGCTCTGCATTAAGTCCATCCGGATTGGTACCGGAATTGCCTGGCACAGTCATACTGGCGTCTTCCTTCTTATCGATCTTTAGTATATATGGATTTCAGGGATCCTTTCTGTCGCTTGAAGGCTGATCGATGGAGAGGTAGTATGCAAGCCGAGTTGAGCAAAGACTCGTGGGGGGCATATGTTAGCCACTCTAGCAGTGACGGAATCACCAGTGAGGAACGTATAAGAATTGAAACTGTATAATTCAAAAGCGACGGTAAATTCAATCAACGAGATTTAACCTCGATATGATACGACATCTCTTTCGTTATATATGTTTTGCATGTCGGCGTGGAACAGATAGCTCGATAGCGAGCAAGCCCCTTTTCAAAGACATTTTCGCTCGCCATGATGTAATATGAGAGACATTCCCTTTCAATTCCTGTATTTGCGATGCTTCGTGGGCGCTGAAGAAGCGACATGACAGCTATTGTTAGTTCGGCGCCGAAATTAGTGGGGAATCGGAGGGCATCGGCGTCCATCCAGCATTCAAATCGGAGCTCTCGGCGGCGAATGACTCCTGGGCTTTCCCTCAAGCTCCAATTTCATCCCCTTCCCAGCTCTTTTCTTCACGGAACATCCGCAACCACCAAGTGAAGAGATCATGTCGGCAGTCACACAAGGCTCCGAGCCCCTGCATAAGGCATGCGATACGTGCAGAGCCAGGAAAACGCGATGTAGTGAGTCAAGATTCCAGTCGGTCGGAAGAGAAGCCAGTCTCCGCGTCTGACTAATCTCGTTTTCACGCCAGAAATCTCGGGCAGCACTGATGCCTGCGACTTCTGCCTGGTATATCAGGCCTTCATGTCTCGTCTGTCGGAATGCTAATTGTCATAGTCCCAGCACCGTCCCTGCTCCTTTACTCCAGTCAAGCGACCAAGGAAGCGCAAGTATGACACATCAGGTACTAACAGAACTCTAACTTCGGACTGGGACGGAAGCTGATCTGCCACGCCAGTATTCATACCACTGTCCCCGACATACCAACAGTCCGTTCGTGACCTTCCTGGCCCACAGCTAGGCTCTGAAAGTGTGGGCTATCAGCAGCCGGGACTGTATATCGACTCTTTACTTGCAAATCGCCAAGCCTCACGCATACATGGAGGTGCCAGTCATCCAGATCAGGTATTGTTTGGCTCTCCTTGGATGCTAAGCGTGCTCGTAACTTACGATGGCCACGCAGCTGACCACTATCTTTGGCCCGAATCCCAACATCTCCTTCTTCCCTGAGCGACGGGTTCGCGCCATCAGTCAGCGGTTGGGTCACAATCGGCTCGATCAGTTACTAGATGAAATACGCGCAGTGGTTGCAACAAAGGTCAAGAATACCTGTGCAATCCCTCAGTCATATATACAACGACATCTGGGCACAGGAAAGATTGAAGAAGTTCCCAGTCGTGACATTATTGATGGACATATTTCTGGTACCTGCGTCTTGATTGCCCGCTCCTATTCTCTTGCTGACAAGTATAACCCTCTTGCAGCGTACTTTGACACGGTACATCCGATCTATCCATTTCTTTGTCCAAATACTTTCCGTGCGCGAGCAACGTCGCAGGAACTGGTCCAATCACTAGGTACAGATAAAGTTTGGGCAGCACTATTCTATGCAATATTGGCGATCGGGTGCCAAAACAACGAGGGAGGAAGCTATGATACCGGTGTAGGGGAAGCGTGGTCATATTTCGAACGGTCGTTGTCCTGTTTCCAGGATCTCCTCTTTGGTAGAGGCTCATTGACTGCAGTTCAAGTGTGTTTCACCCATTCCCCTCACAATATATAACTAACGCTGTTTCATTACGCTAGGCACTTCTCGCCATGGTATCTAGCCCGTCATCCAACACACTCATTCAAAACTGACATCATTCAGGCTGTATTCTCATCGACAGTCTCCGCGTTCAACTTCGAACCCTTAATGCTGACTGAGGCCGCCGTTATGGCACAAGGTTTGGGGTATCATCGCTCGAATAGTGCACAGGAAGGACCATGCCGTCGCACGTTCTGGGTGCTCTATTACATGGAAAAGACGTCCTGCTTTGCGACTGGTAAAACTTCGGTGAGTTGTGTATGGCCATACTCACCAACGTCTTCTTCTAAATCAGGGTTCAATGGTTTAGGTAGTGGACGACGCCAACATAAGCTGTGCTATCCCGGATATGACAGAGTCCACTTTTCATGACTATGACTGGTTCTTCAACTTCGTCAAATATGCTCGTCTGGTCTCTAAGATCCACCAATCTCTTTTCACAATCAGCTCTGTTAGTCAACCGTTATCTACCTACAATTCTATAGTTGAGAGCCTACGTATAGAATTGGAAGCCTGGCGCGCGAACATTCCGCCGCGGTTCCGGCCAGGCGAAAAATTCAAAACTCGTTCTTTGCAAGAGCCCCTGGCAGTCCAAGTCGCTTTGATTACCCACTTCCTCTACCTCAACGCTCTTCTTACACTGTCGTGGACCGTTCTGCATTACGGAGCCGTCCGTTTGGGGTCTTCACAGCAAGAGATTATGAAGCGAGACCTGATGCGGACTGCTCGAAGTGTCCTCGAACTCACCGTGCACATCGAGGTAGCGCCTTCCACACCAGTCTGGTAAGTTTCTATACTATATTCCCGGCCTTGATAACAACAACTAAGTAACTACCTACGCGGTCTTGCTGTGCATTAGGATACTCGCGGTCCTGCCACTATCGTCACTAATGATCTTATTTGACCTGGTGGTCCACAACGCCAACCACCCAGAAACTGGCCTCAGCCTCGCTCTCCTTGACATCGCCGGTGGACACTTTAGTAGGTTGGAATATGCCAGCAACGGTGCCCTTCCGGGTTCTCTCATTGCCGAGTTTGCCCATCTTGCTCGTCAATACGTTTCGGAGACCCGCAAACCCAAGTCCATATCCAGAGACAACAATGAGAATAGCATTCCATTTGTGTCTCAGGACCGCGCAGAACCCTCTCCGTCCGCGCCAGAACCCAGGACCCTGACTGCGGACCAGACCGAGCTGGCTGTGCCAGCGGTGCTCCCGCAGGAGCCGGAACCTGTCGCCACGAATGCTCCGGGGGTCATGCAACCTTGGAGCCCGGCTCCTCTTGATCGGAGTGAAACGCTTTTTCTACCTTATATCGACGATCCGACTTACTATTTTGGGGACTTGCAGTTGCTTGGCATTGATTTAAAAGATCTGTTCGATAATTCGTATCAGTTACCGGCAGGAAGCGATCATGGGGTGTAGGTCCAACTCAGCGCTAAGTTGTAGCCTCTTCACCTTCTACGACGTTGGCCAATCGCTACGCCGAGGGTGCAACAAAGTCTGGGGCTCCCTTGCAGTCCAACATCAGCGTCGTTTCAATATATACAGACCACCCTAACGTTGACTGGCAAAGAGCTTCTCTAACCACAGAATCACAAGCATAGTCGTTAGAATATTGTGACCCTGTCAAATAATCTACATCTTGGAAGGGCCGAATGCGCGAGTGGCCTGAATTCGCCGGAAACGGAAATGAGGCCATCCAATGACATACATCAGTCACGTGCGGTGTGCCTTGACCAGAAATATTTTTCTACGAGTCTGTCTTTTCAGATCTCTTCCAATATATCACGTACATGTTCGGGGCAGGAGAAAATAGCTCTCCGGGCTTCCTCCAAATGCAGCCTGTACGGTCTTGTACGGTCCCTTCGCTCCTATAGCAACAGAGCAAGAGCTTCATCCTAAGACCAGGCAAATAATGTCTCCGACTTGGGAATTGAGATTTTCATTGTCCGCACGGGATAATATGGCCAGAAAGTGCGCTGGTGTCTGGAAAATCAGCATATCGCTACCCACCATGTTAGGAACCTGCTTTAGTTCATCAAGTCTGTTGAACTGAGACCATGCTACCGCAGCAGCCAGGCTTATCCACTCAAGCACGATAGGCCTTCAAGCATAAGGAAGTGTGACACGGGAATTGCTTTCCTTCGGGCAGTCGTGTCTCATGATGGGCGCATGTGATTTCTCTTGAAAAAGCTGTTCCCACAGCCTGAACCCAAGACTCACCCCAATATGGATGCATGCCAGCAACATCATACTGGACGCATTCCTAGTATCACAGAGGGCACTATTCGGACGACGGTTTGGGGAATGATGTTCCATTCAATTTTGCAAGTTGTCAGCATATAGTCGTGATGGGCCCCGTTTCTGTCGGCGTCATCCGGACGACGTTATTGTTCGAATACTGCTCGGTCGGACAATGGATCAGCAGCCGTGATGAGAGCAACCGTCGGGGACCGGGATATACCTGATACAACCTGAAGGGTAGCTGGCAGTACATCTCCAGAGCGTGAATCCTACGATGCCAGCTGTATCAATGGGAAGGTGGTCCGTAGCTGTGGCACATCCAGGCGGTGTGTGGCTGGATGTGCCTGACTATGAGATACATGCATTCCGGAAGAGCGGAAGTACTCGGTGGTACTTCGAGGATGTTTCTGTGGCATCGCGTGATCCCATAAGAATATGGGGAGTCAATACCATCGGCCTGAAAAAGGGAGGGGGTTATCTCACTCGAGACTATTCAGCTATGGTCACAAGTCCAACCCCGCACATGCTCCCCGGCTTGCCGAGAAGCGCGCGGGTCCTCCTAGAATGGCTAGTGTTGCGGGACTGGACCGTGTTACGCTCCGCAACAACCAATGGCTCGCGTTGCTGCCGGCATGAGATCGAGAGATTGGCCGCCAATCGGCCCTGCTGGGCCCCGCCTGGATATCCCCCGACCTTTTCAAGGTTCCCCTTCTTCATCTGCAAGCCTTGAGGTTGTCCCTCCATCCTCCGCCACAGTGGTACGATCGTGCAACTTCGTCCCCTGTACCGTCACCATGGATGTCAAATCGTTCCAACAAGCACGTGGGACGCCGCCTCCCGAGGAGCGTCGTCCCCTTCTGGGTCCCGATGATGAGGTCGTACAGTATGAAGTGGACGATGACATAAAGGGTAGGTCCCGACAGCCAGCATCACGATGGGTACCAACCTGGGCCAAGTCAATCTTCATCACCGCCATCCTCCTGATTATGAGTGTCCTGCTGGTCCTGGCCCTTCTCTTTCTGGGCATAGGAATCTCTGGCCTCCCTCATGGCTCCTCCGGGAAGCCGTCGGCTCCACACGCTCCTATCAAAAATGTGGTCGTTCTAGTCCAAGAGAATCTCTCATTTGACACCTACGCGGGAGGCCTGACCTACAACTCTACAATTGACGGCCTCGTGAACAGAAAATATTGCAACCCTTCTGACATAGAAGACCATAAATCGTACCAAGTCTGTGCCAAACCCACCGCCAAGAATGTTGCCCCCGATGATCCCGACCATTCCATCGCAGGGGGTTCCATGCAGGTCTATAGCACCTACCATCCCGATAATATGAGTGCTGCTTCTATGCAAGGATTCGTGACCGAACAGGTCCGCTCGTACGGCATCGACCGCGATCTCTCCCGCGCTGCCGAAGTCATCAACTACTACACCCCAGACCATGTCCCTGTCCTCAATGCTATGGCTGAGAATTTCGTGCTCTTTGATGCCTGGTTTGCTGCAGTTCCAGGTCCGACCAACCCCAACCGCGCCTACTTGACGTCTGGAACTAGCTATGGCCATGGACTGAACGACATCGGCTTCTTGACCTCGGCTCTGCCTCAGGTGTCTATTTTTGAGCAGCTGTCGAACGCTAACATCAGCTGGATCAATTACTCTAATACCACTGGATTCCTCCCGGATGCCCTCTTCTACAAGTGGACTCTGAGGACCGGCAAGTCTGAGACACATATTAAGCCCATCGACGAGTTCTACCGCGACGCCAAGGCAGGCACCCTTCCCCAATTCACCTGGATCAATCCCGAATGCTGCAAGTACATGTCATTCCATCCTCCGTCACCCGTCAACATGGGTGAAGGGTTTATCAAGAGTATTTACGAGGCACTTCGGTCCTCGCCGCAGTGGAACGAGACCCTCTTCATCTTGACCTTCGATGAGCACGGCGGTTTTGCAGACCACGTTCCCCCTCCCGAGAACGTGCCCCCAGGTGACCATCGCACTCATAAAGAGTGGGCTCTGGACGGAAGCAAGATTGAGTTCAAGTTCGACCGGCTGGGAATCCGCGTCCCTACGCTGCTGATGTCTCCCTGGGTTGGCAAGGGTGTCGTACAAAACCGTCCCACAAATCAGCCAAACGATTTCACCCATACTTCGATCTTGAAGTATCTTTCAGAACTGTGGGACTTGCCCGTGTTAACGCCAAGAGTCACCTGGTCGCCAAGTTTCGGAAGCTTGATCACCACTACCTATCGGGATGATACCCCCGATAAACTTCCTGAGCCTGCTGACTTTTAGACGGCATACGAGGGATGAGTTAGTATGAATGTAATGACTAGAATGGACTATTTTGCATTGTTTTTTGAATATGATATTGGCTGAGGACTGGATTTGGCTCAGGGTCAGTATGAAATACTCGATGAGTTATCTTATCATCATTCATAGTTATAAAGAATGGCAAACTATCACAATTAAATAAACAAATTGGTATCTCTAAAGTAAATATTCCCTTCTCCACTCAATTAAGATAGACTCAACACTCTTCACCTGCGCTGCAGCAATCACCTGACCGCTTTAGAAACCGAGGAACTTCTTCCGCTTCGACTTGACCGACTGCGACCTCGATCTCTGCGTGATCGCCGAGTTTCTCGTGTTGACCCGATCGATATCGTACGGATTCGCCTCATACTTCCGGCCTTCACGGTCATCACTGGACACCGATGCCGTAGCCACCGACTCGGCGCGCTCAAGGTCCAACTCTCGATCGACTCGGGTCTCATCCACGCCATCGGCAACGGCTTCAGCCTCTTCCTCCACAACCTCCTGGCTCTTCTCCGGGTTCAAAGACTTCTCAGCGAGTTTCTTCATGAATGCGTCCGCTTCCCCAGCATACTTGCACTTGCGTCGAATAGCGGCACCATACTTATAGAAGATGAACGGGAAAGGCAAGCAGGCGACCGATAAGAAAGCCGGGATGGAAGATGCCCAATGAATACCTAGGTTCTGGTACATGTATGTTGTGAAGAGAGGGAATCCCGCACCGAAGCAGCTTCGAATGATGGAATTGGCGGCCAAAACCGAGGCAGCATAGATCGTGTACGCATCAATCAGGTATGACATGATGTTCAAGAAAACAAGGACCATACCGAATCCGAACGGAGCAGACGCAATGATACTGACGATCCAGTGGACGTTGAGACCGTTCGTCCAGGCGAACCAGAACAGACCAATCGGGATGGTGATACTCCCAATCATAGAGGGAGGGAGGCGGGCCTCAGGCGGTGCGAACCCACGGTGTTTCTCGTGCACCCTCTTATACCGCTTGTTGTCCCACATATTGTATCCCACAGCTGACATCATTCCAACCATGACTCCCAAGAAGGGCAGACTGCCTACTCCTTCGTTCCAGCCGCGCAGTTGTTGGTAAACGATCGGGAATGCGTCGAAGAGCATGTACAGCGTGCCGTAGACGATGGCCATGTAGAGCGAGAGAAGGAAGACAATGGGCTCGGCGAAAAGGAGGATCCATGGGCGCAGGAGTGCCGCTCCGAAGGCGCTGGTCACGGAGACACGGCCACGCTCCACGTCGAGTTTGCTGATATATGTCTTGCCGGTGAGCTTGCTGAGACGGTCGGCGCGCTTGCGGAGGAGGACTGGGGCGTATGTTTCGGGAACAAGGAGAAACTGAACGATCCAGATAAAGCCAGTAAAGGCTGCTAAGAAGCCTTCCACCCATTGCCAACCTGCGCTTTGGCCCAGGAAACCCCCGATGACGGGGCCAAGGGTCGGTCCGAGGAAGGGACTACCCGCGAAGACACTCATGGCCAATCCTCGCTGTTCAGCGGGGAAGACGTCAGCAATTAGCCCACCGGCGTTGGTTAAAGGACTGGATCCGAATGAGCCAGCAAAGAACCGTAGAATGATGATTGTCCATGGGTTTTTCGAGCCTGTTGCACCAGCACTGAATACAGCCAGGCCCATGTAGGAGACGAAGAAAACGAGTTGGCGTCCAATGAGTTCACTCAGCGGTGCCCAGACGAGGGGTCCAATAGCAAATCCAAGCACGAACAGTGAAACACCCAGGGTGGCTACCTCCGTGCCGATGTTAAAGTGCTCAATCACTTGGTCGATACTGCCCGCATAGGCCGACGAGGCCATGGAAACGCCAAAGGTCGCGAACGCGGCAATGATGGTGTAGACCCATTTCATATTCTTGTTAAAATGCATGGGGTTACGCGGGTCATTGGGAATCCATTCTACGATGAATGGATCGGATTCGGTCCCTGAGCCGGCATAGGGATAGTCGATGATCTCCTGAGTGACGACACTCTGGTCGACAATCAGACGCCAGTGAGGGATCTTAGCCATGATGTGGATGAGATCCTCGTGAAAGATCTGAGTGGAGGTTGAAGCATAATGAAGTGAGACAAATCACGGCAGGTGGAGTGGCGTGGTTATAAGAGTGATTGGCTTGCTGGGGGCTGTAATGGCGTGTTTTGAGGAATTTTCTTAGGGCCTGGTACCCGACGGCGCTATGACACGATCACACTATGCAGGGCTACCCTGATTCATCTACTGCAGGCATCCAAGGGACAGGCCGGGTGAAGAATGATTCGACTTGAGCTCATGGGCAAATCCCAATGCTTGTCTAGGATCCACTGATACGGCATGGCTCCACTCGGTGGAGGCTTCGGCTGTGAGTTCGGCAACCCGATCACTGGCCGGACCGAGGCTGCGTGCGGCTCTTGTATTGTCAGTTGGTGTGTATCGGTCAGAGTATAGTTTCAGTTTACTTCTGGAACTTCTCGAGATTCTCGGTCGTTTTGCAGGCTAATTGAGAGGAGTTTGATCCCCAGCTGAAGATAAAGCCTGGTAACCGAGCCCACGCTAGGCATTCCCACCCTCGCTTGCAGATCCCTATGCCAGTTTGAGTTGTGCTCCCGCTTGTCTGCATAACATCTGCACTAAGCAAACCCCGAAAGACGATACAGCACCATCACGAGCACAAGCACAAAATGGGGCCGGGTGTACCTGGCGAACCATTGGTGGTCTGAGATAAGCTTTGTGGTCATCGCCGCGCCCTTTGACGTCTGACAGCGCCATCTGGTTGGGCATTCGGCTCGGTCGGAATCCTCGACATCTTTTATGTTATTCATCTACAGCATAAATCTTCTGTGAACACTATCCCCTCCTCATGCTGGCTTGTCTGGAAGATAATTCCGCCCGCTGGTGGAGTCTGTATCAAAGCATCGGCAGATGCCTTGGTTCCCATCTAGCGGTCTGCTGCGATAATCAGAGCAACTCTGATACGTGGCGCGACATCTGAAATGCCTCATGAATTGCAATACACTTCGCCTCCATTGACACTATCTACAGTTTGGACTTGACTCTCCCTGTCCCCAAACCCCATAATGCCATCATACTTATCATTTGTGCCACCTGACAGTCCTTGATCAGCACGACCACGCTTAGCGAATAGACCCTTAACCCACCCAATGCCACTTCATCCCCAACCGTTGGAAGTACGTAAATAGCGCACCTCGAGGCACATAGCCAGCATATGCTGCTTGCCATCTCGCTGCGAAAGACCCAGCAATTGGACCCAACTCCCCGAATCCCAAGACTTCGAGCACCCACGGTGCTAATGCCGCCAGCACCCCCAAAGCAAGAAGGATCGTAAAAACTGGGTGCTCTTTGGCAAAATCCACTGCAGCTTCTTTGGCTTTGTTCAGAGCATCGGCAGCAGGGCCGGCCATTTCCGCTCCGGCTTTGATAGCGTCGTTGAGGCCATGGAGGATAGCTTGGGCGATGGAATCGCTCCACCCGTTGGCATCGACCTGTTCTTTCACTCCTTTCTGAATGGCCTCTCGGGTTTCACCGGTCAGGAGAATATTGACAATGTCTGATGCAACGGCGGAAGTGCGCGCATCGGTCTGGTAGACGTCGGGTGATGGTCCCCAGAGGCATTCCAGGATCGACTTGATGATGGACATTGTCCGTGCAGAAGTAAATGATGGTGAGGAGCTATTGGTCACTGTTGGTGGATTATGAATCTTATGGAAGTAATGGTGGATGTGCGACCTGTAGAGGTGGATGAATTGGCTTGGGGGAAAGCCAGAAGTTCGGAACGATGATGAAATGATGATGTCCATTCACTGCTTTATATTATGGGCAGCGAGCACTTGGCGCAGGCAAGGCACACTCCGTGGACGCCCATGGAACGGATAACATTGAGCACGTCCAATGATACCATTGTTGCCCACAGCCTTGCAGCTCAGCTTTCAGTTTCCCATGCATACGACATCTGTCTTCGAGGTTGGTTGGCCGCCCTGGTATCGCCGATGTCGCTAGGCGCCGCACTATTCTCTGCCAGGCATTCATTCCACGCCAACGATTTGGCGCTGAACGATAGCGCCATCCACTAAAACTCGAGCAGCTAATAATAGCTTGGTCCAGCCACAGGCATGCGCCTCCGGACCAACATGACCTCTTTTTTGGCCTCCAATTTGCTCCCGTCTGGTGGAAATGCACATCCGAATAGCAGCAGACCAGGTGCTCGTGGCCTCAGGACCTGCCGTCCACGTGAGGCACCTTTCTTGCCCGTCACTGCAGCGTGTTCGCTCTGGCTTTCTCAGACCCATTGTTTGTTCTCATTGCATCCATATGTAAGTCCGCACGGAGAACGGTACAGCCAAATTCCCCGGGCCTGATCGTCAACACTAACAACGTTAGGGCGCTAATGGTTGTAGAGCGTCCTGAAACTTGCTACAAATAGGAACCAGTCCGTTTAAGGATATACTAAGCAGTCAAACAGCATATTCTGCTTACGAAAAAGGGACCAGAATAGAGGGCCCGTGCTTATCGGTCAGTGATGATGATGGAGACACAATGGCCACCAGTCCAATGCCGTCATCATGGGTTCCTCTACCATGATGAGAGCTGCGGAGAACGAATATCAAGAAATCTTCAGATATGCGCGGATCGACAGCTGTTGCGTGGAACATACAACCCCCTCACGAGCCTGACGCTGCCTGTTGCGCGTATTTTGTGGGCTCGTTATCCTATAGCCAATTGCGTGCTCGTTACGGTGCTACATTCCAGAATGTGGGAAGTGATATCATGCCACCCTGGACCAAGAGTCGCTAGCCTTATGAGCAGAAACCAGTCCAGAGGCCCCTTTCACGAAGTCTGTATGCCGACTACCCGTCAACATGCCCATATGAAGAAGATCTTCCAACGCCTCCGAGCTTCTTGACACAGCCAGTAGACGATAAGCCTCTGGACGATCCGTGTCCATTTTGTGATGAAGATGATGCGTGACACGTAACGCAAAGATGCTTCCGCACCATACAACCCCAGTGTGTACTACGTGCTCGGGTCATTTCCTAGCTCTTAACAACGGCTAGGCGCATTAGCAGGCACGCTCCGTTGCTTGGTCGTCTTTGAGTCTTATTTCCCATTCATCGCACTGGCCCACACACATCTTCTTTAGTCCAAATAAGGGGCAAACGAGTGGGGAGGTGATCCGCGTGTTCTACTGATCATCTCCACAATCACAACACGAGGTATGCATCCCTTGATTGATCCACAACCACCTGGTCTTTAAAACCAACCGATGGACTGAGACATCCATCGTGAACGGTTGATATTCTCACAATGGGTGAATTCGGCATTGAAGAGCTTTCTGATCTTAACGTCCTTGCTGCCGAGCATGGGCTGGAATTGACCCCAGACGGGTGTCACTTGCGCTGGGCTCGAACAAATCCCAAACATCCGCGGAACTGGCACCCAGTGCGCAAGTCCTACGATATCGTTGTGATCTCGCTTTTGGAATTCTTCACGTGAGGTTGTCTTGGGACTTCTCCGATATGTTGCTGACATCAACTGTCCAGGACATGTCTCAGTACCTCAGGAGTGAGTAGTGCTTTCCGCACAACATGCGCAGTGTCTCACATTTGACAGGCCACGACGGCTACGGCCGCACAGGTTGAGTTCGGGACGTCCAAGACATTGACATTGTTTCTATATGTCTCAACGTGCGCTGCCAACACCTTTCTATCGCGGAGAAATAGACACTAATTTGTATAGTTATCTCTTAGGACAAGGTCTCGGGGGGATTGTGTTTCCCCCTTACTCGGAATCCTTCGGTCGAAAGAAGCTCTATATTTTTAGCGCGTCCTTATACAGCGTGTTCTGCCTCATTATCGCGGCGGTCCCATCAATTCCGTCCCTCGTCGTCGGCCGTTTCATTACCGGCTTCCTGTCCGCCATCCCTACCGTTGTGATCACCGGGAGTATCGAAGACATGTTCAACACGCATGATAGGATCTTCGTCATGTTAGTCTACGTGTCCATGGCTTGTATGGGTGTTAGCGCCGGACCCATTATAAGCTCGTATATCTCTGTTCGCTTTGGATGGTGGGACTTCTAAGCCTCTTGCCCTGCGAGTGCTAATAACTGTATAGGAGATGGGTGTTTTATGTCGGCGCTATTGTCTCCGCCTTTCTCGCAGCGCTGCTTTTATGCATCAAAGAATCTCGACCATCCCTCATCCTTATGCGGGAAGTTCAAACTCTGCGTAAGCTGACCGGGAACGATACATTCAAGGCACAAAACCCAGATTACATGCCGGACCTGCGCACCTTCCTTCACCTCGGCCTCTTGCGGCCTCTCCGTCTCTTCCTAACCGAGCCTATCGTCTTCATTGTGACAATGATCTTCGGAGTATGCGTAGCCTTAGTCTACCTCTTCACGGAAGCCCTTCCTCCGGTTTACGAGCAATTCGGCTTCAGCACCGAAGAAGCCTCCCTGCCGTTCCTCGCCCTCGGTCTCGGGGTCATCCCTAACGCTTTGACTCGCATCGTGGACTACCGCATAATCCGACGACGCCAGAAGAAATGCGGTGTCCTCAAGCCAGAACACAAGCTGACGGGGATCTACATCGGAGCACCTGTACTTGCGATCGCGCTGTGGTGGTTCGCCTGGACAATTCCTCCCCAGGTGACCAACGTCAACTGGTTTGTTTCCGTGGTGGCGCTTTTCTTCATCGGATATGCATTGAATGAGCTAGAGATTGTGGTGACGGCATATATGGCAGACAGCTATCTGAGCTACGCTGCGAGCGGGTTTGCTGCCCTCTCCATCATCCGATCCCTGCTGTCGGCTGCATTTCCACTGTTCGGGAGTAAGATGTTCGACGCACTGGGTGCCAACGTGGCTGTTTCTATTCTAGCCGTGCTAGCAACGATATTCTGTATCGTGCCGCCACTCCTCAGTCGTTACGGAGAGCAGATGCGAATGAGGAGTGCGTTTGCTAAGTATAGTCTGCAAGTGTATGCGGAAAACGGGGTAGATCAGGACTTTCAGTAATTGTCTGCAGATGCATGGCACTTTATGTGAGTGTCCGCATGCAGTTCACTGCTTATGGTGACAGAAGAATTGGCAAGAAGAGGCGGGAATATATATCCTTCTACTATTAATTGACACGGAAAGACTCATGATTACGACCACTTATGGGAATATTATGCTTTGGGAGGCAGGGACACGCACAGTTAAGAGTATATTTGTATCATGAAGCTGCTTTCAATGAAATAACTTGTTAATTATGATCATGCTTAGCTGCTACCACCACCTTCCAATACAGTCCCCAAAATGATCACAATAATAACCGTTCACGCTGATCTGCCCACACCTATGATAGAATAGACCTTATCTCATCTGGTCCACGAAACTCAATGATCAGTAGGACAGAAGTGATGTACACAATCAATGTTACATTTCCTACCATGATCCACCATGACCAAAAGCTGTCACAGGTTAAGCCCCATTCACCGGATTGAGCTGAATTAGTACACTGCATTCTAGATCTATTCAATTGAAATAAGTCCTCACTAGCAGTACGACTTTGATAGCATTACTACTATTGAGTGACAGACTCCTCTGGGACTTCTGTAAATGGGGGGATGGATTGGCTATGAGTGATCCTATCGAATATGATTGTGAGAACTACTACAACTATGCAGGAACTACCGTAGGATTAACCAAGTGAGTACTAATTGTTGAGAGGTGGTCTGCCGGATTCATTAGTAGTATGAAGAGGGATATTTATAGTAGGCTAGTTTTCGTTTGTCTTTTCTTTCTCTTTGTTTTTGCGGTTTAGTATTATTTACAGCTAGCTGAGACTGATTGGCAAGTTTTTAATTAGTATATGTAGTTGATATCGGTTTCAAGGAGGGAGGTGGGGTAAGATTTGCTCTTGACTAGTTTAGTAATGGTATTGAGTGTGCATAGATTAGTATATATAAGTAGCGACCTTCGTGTTAGTTATGGCTCCATGTGGTAACCGGAGCTAGGATCCTTCTGTTTAGTACCGAGGAAATTACTGGAAGGGAATATTTCCATGTTAATGTAGATTGTATAATTTCTAATTACACTAAACGTAGATTGCATCTAAACATGGCCTGGTAGCTGTTATCAGCCACCACATAACTATATAAGTAACTATATTACAAAAATGCACGCCAAACTCCGCTATATGCGACAAAACCAACTCTCCAATTCGTCTACTATAAATTCATCATCTCTTCTATCCATATCTATCCCATGATGCTATCCCAGATCCTGCGCACCCATCCCTCCTTGGGATTGCTCGATTCCCAGGTAGTGTACGGCGGACGTCCGGTGTCCAGATCCGCCTCGATGGGGCGCACAAAGCGCGTGCGGTACCAGGCCTTGTGGCCGACGTACAGAATCACAAACAAAACGGGGCAGATGTAGGCTACCCAAAAGTCCGACACATTGAAGGTCGGGATCCAAGCGGTGAAACCCTGAGTAAAGATGATCAGGATGTTGAAGAACAGACCGTACCAGGCCAACCAGGGCTGCCAGATGGCCTTGTAGGGAAGGGTGTCACGGGAGAGACCGCGCGCTTTCATTGCCTTCATGAAGGCAATGTGACTGGCGTTGATGGAAGTCCAGCAAATGAATCCAGCCACACTGGAGATGTTGACCAGCCAGTTGAAGACGGTAGTACCCGATTCCGAGACGTTCATGAATCCCAGCAGTCCGAAGAGAGCGGTGAAAGCCACACTGACGTAGGGGACACCACGGCGAGTGACCCATCCGAAGACTGAGGGCGCGAAACCCTCCTGAGCCAGGCCAAGCAGGACACGACTGCCACTGTAGACGTTGGAGTTGGCGGCGGACAAGACGACAGTGAGAAGAACAGCATTGATCAAGCTAGGAAGAACCTTGACACCGGCCAAGTTGGCCGCAATGACCATGGGGGAGGCGGAGGCGTTCTCAGCTCCGCTGGCCAGGTCGGGGTTGGTGTAGGGAACCAACAAGCCGATGAAGAAGATAGTCAGGACAAAGAAGACCAGGATACGGATGAAAGTCTTGCGAATAGCCGAAGGGACAGTCTTCTGGGGGTTCTCGGTCTCACCAGCGGCGACACCGACCAGCTCGGTACCCTGGTAGGAGAAACCAGCTTGGATGAGCACAGCCCAGAAGCCGACGAACTTGCCAACGGACTCATTGGAGGTGATCAGGTAGGGAGCAAAAGCACCCGGGTCATGCCAGTACTTGAAGCCAATGTATCCCTGCTTGCCTACACCAGCATCAATGCAGATGGCGAAGATCATGAAGCCCAGAACGGTCAAAACCTTCGTGATAGAGAACCAGAACTCCAGCTCGCCGTAGAAGCCGACGGGAAGGAAGTTGACGGCAGAGATGACGACCCAGAAGACACCGATGAAGATAGCAATGGACAGCTGATCGTTCCAGTACTGGATGATCATACCGGACGCGGTCAATTCGACGGCGTAGGTGGAGGCCCAGTTGAACCAGTAGATCCAGCCCATGGCGAAACCCAAACTCGGGTCGACGAGACGCGCGGCATAGGAGGTGAAGGCACCGGGAATGGGGATGTAGGTAGCCATCTCACCCAACGAACACATGACCGAGTAGACGATAGAACCAACGAAGGCGTATGCGATGAGGGAACCCGCCGGGCCAGCTTCCGCAAGGGCCGTTCCACTGCTGATGAAGAGACCTGTACCAATGGTGCCACCTTCGGGGGGTTAGTGACGAGTTCATAGCAGTATCAAATGTCCGATTGAAGCGTCTTTCACTCACCGATGGCGATCATCTGCAGGTGACGGTTCTTCAGGTTGCGCTTCAGCTTAGTTTCTTCCTCCTCATTGTCGCTTTCGACATCCTTGGTGAGGCCATTGCGCCGGCGCTCGCGCAAGCCGGAGGGAGTGAGGGAGCGATCGGAGGGGGATTGGGAGCCATTCTCCTCGGTGACGGCACTGTCAATTGGCAGCTTCCCTTGGGAAGCGACCTTGTTGTCCTCCATAACCGACAGGTGTTCAGCTGAGGTGGGGAAAGGTGTGGGAGGAGATCAAGAAGGCGAGAAGACGAGAGCGTGAGGCAGCGGAGAAGACAGCCTCGGCGCACGACAGCTGGGAAGGAGTCGATGTGTCAGTCAACGTCAATGATGACCGGATTGAGGGATTGAGTTCTGGGGAAGAGGAAAAACAGAAACAGAGACAGACATGACAAACCTTTTCCATGTGGCCATCTTGGGGGGAACGGCAAGATTTTCTCGTCTGGTTGTCTGGACCGAGTTTTTCCCAGATCGGGGCAGTTCGTTCCATAACGTCAGTTGCCGCTGGCGAAAATTCTCCACTGCTTTGCCATGGCGTTACCTAATCACGGGCCAATCACGGGGTGATCACGGGTTGCAAGCGGCCAGTAAGTGGATTCTAGTGGCCTTCTAGCCGGCGGGGTTACACCTTGAGTGGACTCAGCCCGGTTAGCGACGGACAGGAAGATATACAAAGTATCTAGTACTTCATTGACACTAGACATTAGACATACCACATATTACAATAAACACGTCCACTTCCTGGAGAATATATCCAGACAGTTGCAATTGGAAAATCAAAGAAGGACAGAAAATGAGGGGCAAAATGCGGACGGAAATACGAAGGCGGAGAAAACTGAAGAGAAGAGAAAAATCAGCTCCGGCACTAGACTGTTTCAGGCAGGGCAACCGCCTTCCCGTCTGGGACGAAATTGCATTTGCGCGTGCCACATCACGTGTTGAGATAACTGACTCGAGTCTGCATTTCTCCCTTCATCCTCGATCCTTGACTCCGTACGGGTCATGTTTCACCTCATAAACAGTCGTCACTTGAATGCCATCGATGCCTCGCCCGGTCTCGTCTCCCACTCGGTCTGTCCCTCCCCGAACATCACTGACGAACTGAGATTGGCTGTCTTCCAAGATAGACTCGGGCCCGGCTGGTCTCCGGTTCGCTGTTCCCGTCCCCGCTAACGGTCCCAATTTGTACCGGCCGGTTCCACTGGCCCCAGTCGATACTTCTCGCGACGAGGATGACCTCCGAAGTAGTGGCCAGATACACGGAATATTGACAGTGATGATGGCAATGACCTATCGTGTGGTCAGAACAGTCATATGAGAGGCTTGGAGGGAACGTACCGTCTCGCGTGTTGCCCAGAGGTTGCTGGTATTAACAGATTCAATGTGCCATAGCGAAAGGACGCAACGGAACACTGCGGCAACCATCACGAATACGCCCCCGAAAAGCAGCAGCCCGATCACCAGTTTCCTTGAAAATGTGAGTGACCTGAACGCTCACAACTGTGTCTGATGTGGACATACCGGCGCCAAGGGAGTTGCACTTGGATCAGTAACGGCAGAGGGATCGAGAGCACCACGACGTCCGTCCTAGATGACGACACCATCCTTCGTTAGCAGCCGTCGAGTCGCGGCGTGTATTGCGACTCACAAGATATTAGTCACCAGAATGGCAATGTAGTTCGCCGAGCCTTGCGTACACGCCTCTAAGGCCCGTTAGCCGAACCCAGGATCATCTCTGCTCTGTCAACTTACTGCCTGGATTCGGGTAGATCTGCCACATTTTGCTGACGGGGTTACAGTGCAGCAGGATAGTTAGGATAGCGGCAACGTAGGTACACAAACACAAACCTGCCGCGACCTTGACGAACCTTTGCTGAACAAGGCCAATCCTACCTAGAGTCAGTGCGATATCATCAATCAATAGGTGGATAAGGCCACATACGTCAAACGGTTATAGAAAAACAACATGCAAGCCTTCAATACCCAGATCAGGGTCACGTAGACCACCCAGCTGACGAGAAGGCATTTCGCTCCAAACTCTCGCTCACGTATTTCCCACTCCTCCATCGATGCTCTCTGCTCGTCACTGAGCCTAGCATTAGCGCCGAAGCGGACTATAGGGTTATAACCTGTCAGCCAGAGTCCATTCTCCGGGGAAGATGAGCTTACACACAAACTTGAACATGAAGACTTCCGTCTAGATAGAACCCTCATGTCAGCCTTCACCTGGTTGCCATTACCAGCGAACATTGCACTTACTACCCAGAGAACAAGCACCACAATACCGAGGTAATCATCTCCTTGCCATTTTCTGAAGCCTACTGCTCTGGTTCGAGCGTAGAGTCGGAGCAGGATGACAAACATGCCAATGGCCATCTCCACCCATTCTTCGATTTCGAAGGGGAGTCTGCTCTCCTTGGTGGAGCAGCCAGGTTCGATGTGGATCATGGCGTCAAGGCAATGAAACCACTTTTGTACACAATCGCAAAGTAGTCTAGCATACACCAGATGGCAGAATCGCTTTGGGTGATAGTATCAGCGAACTGCGCGATGGGAGTCAATCATTGTGTTGACACACTGCTCCTGTTAAATGTTGCGACTTCACATATTGAGCTAGCTGGTGAAGAGCCAAGGCATCCATAATAAAATAATGCCCCAGCTTCACTATCAATTACCTATTCTGGTCAAGGCAAATCCTTTGAGTCCCGGAATACATCTAGTCTTTCACATGTCACTTCAGTGCACTGCAATGTGGAGCAATCCGTAGACAATCTAGAAATGAGCAGCAAGCCACATCCTTCAACATATCCTTAAGGCTTCTTTCCAAGCAACATGCATGGAGCAGCCCACAAGTGTAACCCGCTGTAGCTTATTCCAACATGAATGGTCAATCTACTTTAAAGTGAAGTGCGCATGTAGTACACAGCGGTGAGCCGACAAGAACCAAACCTGATTGAGAATTTTGAGCCCAGACATTGAATGCCACATTCCATCACTATGCAGCTCCAAGTTCTAATTCAAGCAAGGCTATGTCTGGTAGACGTACCCTTGCGCCATTGGCTGCGGGCTGGTGAAACATGCATCGGAACTAAAGTTCGGTTCCCCGCAAGATTCAGTTCGCTTAGATGTTGGCTTTGCTACCCGGCCAACCGATCAGCCGGACCAGGGATCGTCTCGAGTCCTCGATTGTTCTAAAATTGAGTCTGGCCGCGATTTCATCTATAATGGGTCATGTATTTCACCTACTGTTATAGTATCAAGCAGTCTGAAATATACATTGACTGTCTCCGTCAGACAATGCATTCTTCGGTAACTGGATATAGCCAATGTCATTACATATAACGCCTATTCATTACCGTCAGGCCAAATGCACTGCAAGTGACTGAATGTAATGATTCCTGCATCCAATGCATCCCCAAATCCAAATCAACTCGCCACTGCTGATCGGCAGGGCCCCAAATTGATCTTAAAATAGCTCCATTTCCCCCCTCTCCCCTCTACAATAGATGCACCTGCATATAAATATCCTTCACCCTACCACCCCCTCATTATTCATATTCCTACTACTTACCTAAAATTCGACTTATTGTTCTACATAATCCATTCTCAATTAAATCACAACCAAAATGAGACTCCTCTCCCTCGCCACCGCTCTCTCCTCCCTTATCGCCACCGTCTCCGCCTCCATACCATCTACATATACCCTGGTCGCCGACGGAGGCTGGACCCTCGTTACTGAGGAAGTATGTATCCCACCACTACATTAATTCGTCTTTATTTATA